ACCCACCTCCCACCCCCCTTTCCCCGTTTTCCCCCCGTTTCCCCCGGCCCCGATTTTGGGTGAAATCCCGGCGATTTTGGGTCGGCCCAGACCTTGATGGTGGCGATGTGGAAGGGCGTGGCGATGCCGAAGACGGGCATGATGACGCTCTCGTACTTCTTGTCGATGTAGATCTTCATCTCGCGCACGTGCGGCTCCTTGGGCAGCAGCGCCGCGCTCTTGTACGACACGTTGGACTTGCGCGCCCTGAAACGGGGCCGAAAACGGCCGGTTTGGGAAAAACGGGGAAAAGGGGGCGGAAAGGGGGTTTGGGGGAAATGGGGTTTGGGAGAAATGGGGTTGGAGGGGGTGGGGTTTGGGAGAAATGCAGGTTTTAGGGGAAATGGGGATTTGAGGGAAAAAATGGGGTTTTGGGAAAAAAATGGGGATTTGGGGGAAAATGGGGTTTTGGGAAAAAAAATGGGTTTTGGGGAAAATGGGATTTGGGGAAAAATGGGGTTTGGGAAAAATGCAGGTTTTAGGGAAAATGGGGGTTTGGGGGAAAAATGGGGTTTTGGGAAAAAAAATGGGGATTTGGGGGAAAATGGGATTTGGGGAAAAATGGGTTTTGGGAAAAATGCAAGTTTGGGGAAAAAAATGGGGGTTTTGGGGAAAAAATGGGGTTTTGGGGGGAAAATGGAGTTTGGGAAAAATGCAGGTTTTAGGGGAATATGGGGATTTGAGGGAAAAAATGGGGTTTGGGAAAAATTAAAGTTTGGGGGGAAAAATGAGGTTTTGGGAAAAATGGGGTTTGGGGGAAAAGAAGGTTTTGGGGAAAAAATGGGGTTTTGGGGGGAAAATGGAGTTTGGGAAAAATGCAGGTTTTAGGGGAATATGGGGATTTGAGGGAAAAAATGGGGTTTGGGAAAAATTAAAGTTTGGGGGGAAAAATGAGGTTTTGGGAAAAATGGGGTTTGGGGGAAAAGAAGGTTTTGGGGAAAAAATGGGGTTTTGGGGGGAAAATGGAGTTTGGGAAAAATGCAGGTTTTAGGGGAATATGGGGATTTGAGGGAAAAAATGGGGTTTGGGAAAAATTAAAGTTTGGGGGGAAAAATGAGGTTTTGGGAAAAATGGGGTTTGGGGGAAAAGAAGGTTTTGGGGAAAAAATGGGGTTTTGGGGGGAAAATGGAGTTTGGGAAAAATGCAGGTTTTAGGGGAATATGGGGATTTGAGGGAAAAAATGGGGTTTGGGAAAAATTAAAGTTTGGGGGGAAAAATGAGGTTTTGGGAAAAATGGGGTTTGGGGGAAAAGAAGGTTTTGGGGAAAAAATGGGGTTTTGGGGGGAAAATGGAGTTTGGGAAAAATGCAGGTTTGGGGGAAAAAAAAGAGGTTTTGGGGAAAAATGGGATTTGGGGGGAAAATGGGGTTTTGGGGAAAAATTGGGGTTTTGGGAAAAATGGGATTTGGGAAAAAATGGGGTTTTGGGGGGAAAATGGAGTTTGGGAAAAATGCAGGTTTGGGGGAAAAAAAAGAGGTTTTGGGGAAAAATGGGATTTGGGGGGAAAATGGGGTTTTGGGGAAAAATTGGGGTTTTGGGAAAAATGGGATTTGGGAAAAAATGGGGTTTTGGGGAAAAAATGGGGGTGGAAGGGGGATTTTGGGTAGGAATTTGGGATTTTGGACAGAAACTGGGGGAATTCAGGCAGGAATTTGGGCAGAAACTGGGGAATTGGGGCCGGAATTTGGGGCAGGAATTGGAGACCTTGGGGCAGGAATTCGGGATTTTGGGCAGGAATTGGGGCAAAAATTGGGGAATTTGGGGCAAGAATTGGGGAATTTGGGGCAGGAATTGGGGATTCCCAAAACCCAAATTCCCCAGATCCCAAAATCCTAAATTCCCAAATTCTCAAATTCCCAAATTCCCGAATTCCCAAAATCCCAAATTCCCAAAATCCCGATTTCCGAATTTTCCAAAATCCCCAAATCCCCAGATCCCAAAATTCAAATTCTCAAAATCCCAAAAATTCCAAATTCTCAAAATCCCAAATCCCAAAAATTCCAAATTCTCAAAATCCCAAATCCCAAAAATTCCAAATTCTCAAAATCCCAAATCCCAAAAATTCCAAATTCTCAAAATCCCAAATTCCCTAAAATCCCAAATCCCAAATCCTCAAAATCCCAAATCCCCCAAACCACCAAAACTCCAAATTCCCAATCTTCCAAAATCCCAAATCCCCAAAATCCTAAATTCCATAAAATCCCCAAATCCCAAATTCTCAAAATCCCAAATTCCCCAAACCACCAAAATTCCAAATTCCCAATCTTCCAAAATCCCAAATTCCATAAAATCCCCAAATCCCAAATTCCCAAATTCTCAACATCATAAATTCCCCAAATCCCCCAAATCCCAAATTTCTAATTTCCCAAGATCCCAAAGTCCCTGAAATCCCAGAATTCCCAAAATCCCAAATTTTTTGCCCAAATTCCCCATTTTTTGCCCCAAATTCCGTTTTTTTCCCGACCTCCCCATTTTCCCCCAAATCCCTTTTTTGCCCAAACCCGCCATTTTTAGCCCCAAAACCCTCGGGTTTTCCCCCCAAATCCCTGTTTGTTTTCCCCAAAGCCCGTTTTGCCCAAAATCGCCGTTTTTATCCCCAAACTTCCCCCTCACCTTGAGGAAGATCCCGACGTTCTTCACCTTCTTCTTGACGGCCGTCAGCACCACGGCCGGGCCCTCCTGTGATTGGGCAGGGAAAAGGGGCGGGGACACGGGATTGGTCGGGAGAAAAGGGGCGGGGACACGCCATTGGTCGGGAGAAAAGGGGCAGGGACACGCCATTGGCTGAAGGAATTGGGCGGGAAAATGCGATTGGCCGAGGGAATCCCATTGGCCAACAGGGCAAGCAGCCAGGCTGCGATTGGCCAATGAAAGCCAGGCTGTGATTGGCCAATGAGCACGAGGCTGTGATTGGCTGAGGGCAAAGGGGAGGAGCCATTTTCCTGAGGGGAGCGAGGCCGCGATTGGACGAGGGGAAAAGCAGCAAGGCCTGTGATTGGCTGACGGACACAAGGCTGTGATTGGCTGAGGGAATCACCGCACGCCATTGGCTGAGGGAAGGAGCGACGCGATTGGCCGAGGGAAGAAGGGGAGACGCCATTTTGTGAGGGGCGGCCACCATTTTGTGAAGGGAGGCCGCCATTTTGTGAAGGGAGGCCGCCATTTTGTGAGGGGGAGCCGCCATTTTGTGAGGGGAGGCCGCCATTTTCTGAAGGTCGGCCGCCATTTTGGGAAGGGAGGCCGCCATATTGGTGAGGGGCGGCCGCCATTTTGTGAAGGGAAGCCGCCATTTTGTGAGGGGTGGCCGCCATTTTTTGACGGATGCCGCCATTTTCTGAGGGTCGGCCGCCATTTTGTGAGGGAAGCAAGGCCGCGATTGGCGGAGGGGAGGAGCCCTGCCGCGATTGGTGGGTTTGGGGCCGGCCCCGCCCACCTCGTCCACCATGACGGTGTCGCCCAGGAAGAGCGCGTAGCTGCGCTCCTCCGGCCGCTTGGCCTCGCGGTTGGGCAGGTCCGAGAGGCCCACGTTGACGCTGAACACCATCCCTGTTTGGGGGGAAAACACAGGAAATTGGTTAAAACGGGAAAAAAAAAATAAAAGGGGGAAAACCCCATCCCTGTTTGGGGGGAAAACAGGGGATTTTGGTTAAAATAGGAAAAAAACAAAAAATGGGGAAAAGGAAAAAAAAATGGGGAAAAACACCATCCCTGTTTGGGGGGAAAACACAGGAAATTGGTTAAAACGGGAAAAAAAAAATAAAAGGGGGAAAACCCCATCCCTGTTTGGGGGGAAAACAGGGGATTTTGGTTAAAATAGGAAAAAAACAAAAAATGGGGAAAAGGAAAAAAAAATGGGGAAAAACACCATCCCTGTTTGGGGGGAAAACACGGGATTTTGGTAAAAATGGCAAAAAAACAAAAAATGGGGAAAAGCGAAAAAGAATGGGGAAAAAACTCCATCCCTGTTTTGGGGGGAAAACACGGGGTTTTGGTTAAAAATGGGAAAAAAACCAAAAAATGGGGAAAAAAACACCATCCCTGTTTGGGGGGAAATCCCAAATTCCCTAAAATCCCAAATCCCAAATCCTCAAAATCCCAAATCCCCCAAACCACCAAAACTCCAAATTCCCAATCTTCCAAAATCCCAAATCCCCAAAATCCTAAATTCCATAAAATCCCCAAATCCCAAATTCTCAAAATCCCAAATTCCCCAAACCACCAAAATTCCAAATTCCCAATCTTCCAAAATCCCAAATTCCATAAAATCCCCAAATCCCAAATTCCCAAATTCTCAAAATCATAAATTCCCCAAATCCCCCAAATCCCAAATTTCTAATTTCCCAAGATCCCAAAGTCCCTGAAATCCCAGAATTCCCAAAATCCCAAATTTTTTGCCCAAATTCCCCATTTTTTGCCCCAAATTCCGTTTTTTTCCCGACCTCCCCATTTTCCCCCAAATCCCTTTTTTGCCCAAACCCGCCATTTTTAGCCCCAAAACCCTCGGGTTTTCCCCCCAAATCCCTGTTTGTTTTCCCCAAAGCCCGTTTTGCCCAAAATCGCCGTTTTTATCCCCAAACTTCCCCCTCACCTTGAGGAAGATCCCGACGTTCTTCACCTTCTTCTTGACGGCCGTCAGCACCACGGCCGGGCCCTCCTGTGATTGGTCAGGGAAAAGGGGCGGGGACACGGGATTGGTCGGGAGAAAACGGGCGGGGACACGCGATTGGCTGAAGGAATTGGGCGGGAAATGCGATTGGCTGAGGGAATCCCATTGGCCAACAGGGCAAGCAGCCAGGCTGCGATTGGCCAATGAAAGCCAGGCTGTGATTGGCCAATGAGCACGAGGCTGTGATTGGCTGAGGGCAGAAGGGGAGGAGCCATTTTCCTGAGGGGAGCGAGGCCACGATTGGACGAGGGGAAAAGCAGCAAGGCCTGTGATTGGCTGACGGACACAAGGCTGTGATTGGCTGAGGGAATCACCGCACGCCATTGGCTGAGGGAAGGAGCGACGCGATTGGCCGAGGGAAGAAGGGGAGACGCCATTTTGTGAGGGGCGGCCACCATTTTGTGAAGGGAGGCCGCCATTTTGTGAAGGGAGACCGCCATTTTGTGAGGGGGAGCCGCCATTTTGTGAGGGGAGGCCGCCATTTTATGAGGGGAGGCCTGGGGGGAAAACACAGGGGCTGCCATTTTGTGAAGGGAGGCCGCCATATTGGTGAGGGGCGGCCGCCATTTTGCGAGGGGAGGGCGCCATTTTTTGACGGATGCCGCCATTTTCTGAGGGTCGGGCGCCATTTTGTGAGGGAAGCAAGGCCGCGATTGGCGGAGGGGAGGAGCCCTGCCGCGATTGGTGGGTTTGGGGCCGGCCCCGCCCACCTCGTCCACCATGACGGTGTCGCCCAGGAAGAGCGCGTAGCTGCGCTCCTCCGGCCGCTTGGCCTCGCGGTTGGGCAGGTCCGAGAGGCCCACGTTGACGCTGAACACCATCCCTGTTTGGGGGGAAAACGGGGGATTTTGGTTAAAAGGGGGAAAAAAATGGGGAAAATGGGAAAAAGAAAAAAAAGGGGAAAAAACACCATCCCTGTTTGGGGGGAAAACACAGGAAATTGGTTAAAACGGGAAAAAAAAAATAAAAGGGGGAAAACCCCATCCCTGTTTGGGGGGAAAACAGGGGATTTTGGTTAAAATAGGAAAAAAACAAAAAATGGGGAAAAGGAAAAAAAAATGGGGAAAAACACCATCCCTGTTTGGGGGGAAAACACGGGATTTTGGTAAAAATGGCAAAAAAACAAAAAATGGGGAAAAGCGAAAAAGAATGGGGAAAAAACTCCATCCCTGTTTTGGGGGGAAAACACGGGGTTTTGGTTAAAAATGGGAAAAAAACAAAAAATGGGAAAAAAACACCATCCCTGTTTGGGGGGAAAGCACAGGAAATTGGTTAAAAATGGAAAAAAATAAAAAATGGGGGAAAACCCCATCCCTGTTTGGCGGGAAAAAAAACAAAAAATGGGGAAAAGCGAAAAAGAATGGGGAAAAAACTCCATCCCTGTTTTGGGGGGAAAACACGGGGTTTTGGTTAAAAATGGGAAAAAAACCAAAAAATGGGGAAAAAAACACCATCCCTGTTTGGGGGGAAAGCACAGGAAATTGGTTAAAAATGGAAAAAAATAAAAAATGGGGGAAAACCCCATCCCTGTTTGGCGGGAAAATTGATTTAAAATGGGGAAAAAACCAAAAAATGGAGAAAAATGGGGAAAAAACATCACCCCTTTTTGGGGGGAAAACATGGGGTTTTGGTTAAAAATGGGGAAAAAAACCAAAAAATGGGGAAAAACAAAAAAAAAGGGGGAAAACCATCATCTCTGTTTGGGGGGAAAACACAGGAAATTGGTTAAAATGGGTGGAAAAAACAAAAAATGGGAGAAAACAACACCCCTGTTTTGGGGGAAAATTGGTTAAAAATGGGGGAAAAACCAAAAAATGGGGAAAAAACAGCACCCCTTTTTGGGGGCAAAACATGGGATTTTGGTTAAAAATGGGGAAAAAAACAAAAAATGGGGAAAAACAAAAAAAAGGGGGGAAAAACATCATCTCTGTTTGGGGGGAAAACACAGGAAATTGGTTAAAACGGGGAAAAAAAAAAAAAGGGGGGGGAAAAACATAATCTACCATCATCTCTGTTTGGGGGGAAAACACAGGAAATTGGTTAAAATGGGGAAAAAAATAAAAAAAGGGGGAAAAACACCATCCCTGTTTGGGGGGAAAATGGGGGGATTTTGTTGAAAAATGGGAAAAAACCAAAAAATGAGGAAAAAACACCATCCCATAAAAAGCAGATTTTGGGGTGGAAAATCCGGATTTTGAGGCAGAACACGTGAATTTTGGGGTGAAAAGTGGGGATTTTTGGACAAAAAGCAGATTTTGGGGTGGAAAAGGCAGATTTTGGGGCAGAACAGGTAAGTTTTGGGACGGAAATGCAGATTTTGGGGTGGAAAAGGTGGATTTGTGCTCACCCTTCTTGAGGCGCTGCTGGTTCTTGCTGTTGATGACCAGGGAGCCCTCGCGGAACTCGATGCCCATGGCAAAGCTGCGGCCGCGGAGTGACCAGAGTGACCACAGAGTGACCACAGAGTGACCGCCCTGACCGCCGCGCGAGCCCGGCCCCAAAAGGGTGAATTTTGGGGTGGAAAAGGTGGATTTTGTGCTCACCCTTCTTGAGGCGCTGCTGGTTCTTGCTGTTGATGACCAGGGAGCCCTCGCGGAACTCGATGCCCATGGCAAAGCTGCGGCCGCGGAGTGACCAGAGTGACCACAGAGTGACCACAGAGTGACCGCCCTGACCGCCGCGCGAGCCCGGCCCCAAAATCGCCCCTTCTCACCCCAAATTCTTGGTGACCTTGCCCAGCAGCTCCGGCCGCTGCTTCTTGACCACGTCCATCACGGCCGCGTAGACGTCGCACAGACGGGCGCCTGCGGGGGCAGCCAGCGGTCACTCCGGTCACTCAGGGGTCAGTCAGGGTCAGGAGGGGTCACTCAGGGTCAGAGGGGTCACTTAAGGGTCACTCGGGGTCATTCAGGGTCACTTCAGGTCATTTGGAGTTGCCCATTGGTCACTCAGCAGTCACTCAGGTCAGGACCATTTAGGGGCCAAGGGGTCACTCAGTGGTCACTCAGGGGTCACTTAGCGGTCACTTGGAGTCACTCAGTGGTCACTGTGGTCACTCAGCGGTCACTCAGGTCACTCAGTGGTCACTGTGGTCACTCAGGGGTCAGTCAGTGCTCAGGGGGTCACTCAGTGGTCACTCAGCGGTCACTCAGGGGTCACTGTGGTCACTCAGGGGTCACTGTGGGACGTTTTGTGGTCAGCCATGGACAGATCTGGATGGGGCTGCTCAGGGAGGGTCAGTCGGGGTCAGTGGGCAGTGTGGTCACTCAGTGGTCAGTGTGGTCACTCAGAGGTCAGTGTGGTCACTCAGGGGTCAGTGTGGTCACTCAGTGGTCAGTGTGGTCACTCAGAGGTCAGTGTGGTCACTCAGGGGTCAGTGTGGTCACTCAGTGGTCAGTGTGGTCACTCAGAGGTCAGTGTGGTCACTCAGGGGTCAGTGTGGTCACTCAGTGGTCAGTGTGGTCACTCAGAGGTCAGTGTGGTCACTCAGGGGTCAGTGTGGTCACTCAGTGGTCAGTGTGGTCACTCAGAGGTCAGTGTGGTCACTCAGGGGTCAGTGTGGTCACTCAGTGGTCAGTGTGGTCACTCAGAGGTCAGTGTGGTCACTCAGGGGTCAGTGTGGTCACTCAGTGGTCAGTGTGGTCACTCAGAGGTCAGTGTGGTCACTCAGGGGTCACTCACCATGCCGTAATTCACGCAGCAGCACGTCCTGGAGGGTCAGCAGGAAGCCGTAGTGCTCCTGCATGTCCTGGGAGTGGTCACTCGGGGGTCAGTCGGGGTCAGTCGGGGTCAGTGGTCACTGTGGTCACTCAGTGGTCAGTGTGGTCACTCAGTGGTCACTCAGGGGTCACTCACCATGCCGTAATTCACGCAGCAGCACGTCCTGGAGGGTCAGCAGGAAGCCGTAGTGCTCCTGCATGTCCTGCGACGGATCCACCATCAGCGTCCGCACCAGGTTGGAGCAGTAGGACTTGTAGCGGATGCCCATGGAGCAGGTGATGGCCCCGAAGTGCATGTGGGACTTGTCGCTGCGAATTGGGGGGGAAAAATGGAGAATTTGGTAAAAATCGGGAAAAAAATAGCAAAAAATGGGAAAAAACGGGGAAAAATGGCGAAAAAAGGGTTAAAAATGGGGTCAGAAATAAGGAAAATGGGGTGAGAAATGGGGGTGATGGCCCCGAAGTGCATGTGGGACTTGTCACTGTGAAATGGGGGGAAAAATGGGGAAACTGGTAAAAATCGGGAAAAAAATAGCAAAAAACGGGAAAAAACGGGGAAAAAACAGCAAAAAAAGGGTTAAAAATGGGGTCAGAAATAAGGAAAATGGGGTGAGAAATGGGGGTGATGGCCCCAAAGTGCATGTGGGACTTGTCACTGAAAAATGGGGTGAGAAAGAGGGAAATTGGTGAAAATAGTGAAAAAAATGGGAAAAATCGGTGAAAAAATGGGAAAAAGGGGGAAAAATGGGGAAAAAACAGCAAAAAAATGGAGAAAAATGGGGTCAGAAATAAGGAAAATGGGGTGAGAAATGGGGGTGATGGCCCCAAAGTGCATGTGGGACTTGTCACTGAAAACTGGGGGAAAAAATGGAGAATTTGGTGAAAATCGGGGAATTGGTAAAAATCGGGGAAAAAAATAGCAAAAAATGGGAAAAAACGGGGAAAAATGGCGAAAAAAGGGTTAAAAATGGGGTCAGAAATAAGGAAAATGGGGTGAGAAATGGGGGTGACGGCCCCGAAGTGCATGTGGGACTTGTCGCTGCGAATTGGGGTGAAAAAGAGAGAAATTGGTAAAAAACGATGAAAAATGTAAAAAAAAGGGAAAAATCAGGAAAAAAATGGGAAAAAACAGAGTAAAAATGGGGTCAGAAATAAGGAAAATGGGGTGAGAAATGGGGGTGATGGCCCCAAAGTGCATGTGGGACTTGTCACTAGGAATTGGGGTGAAAAATAGGGAAATTGGTGAAAATCCAGAAACTGGGGGAAAAAATGGAGAATTTGGTGAAAATCGGGTGAAAAATGTGAAAAAACGGGGTAAAAATGAGAAAAAATGAGGTAAAATTGGGAATAATGGAGGGAGAAATGGGGTGAGAAATGGGAGTGATGGCCCCGAAGTGCATGTGGGACTTGTCGCTGCGAATTGGGGTGAAAAATAGGGAAATTGGTGAAAATCCAGAAAAAAAAAGGGAAAAAACGGGGAAAAATGGAGAAAAACGGGGTAAAAATGGGAAAAAAACGGGGGGAAAATGGGGTAAGAAATGGGGATTTTGGGGGGATTCAGGGTAATTTTTGTGGATGTTGGATTTTGAGTTAAATTCTGGCGATTTTGGGTACCTGACCACGCTGAACTTGAGGTTGTAGTTGCCGCCGCTCTGGATGATGGGCGGGGAATTTTTGGGGATTTTTTTCTTTAATTTTTGGGGATTTTTGTGGGAATTTTGTCGGATTTTTGGGTTTTTTTTGGGAATTTGGATTTTGGGTTAAATTCTGCTGATTTGGGGTTTTTTGGGTACCTGACGACACTGAACTTGAGGTTATAGTTGCCCCCACTCTTGGGGAATTTTTGTGTAATTTTTTTGGGATTTTTTGGGTGAATTTTTACGGGATTTCGGGGTTTTTTCAGGATGTTGGATTTTTGGGTTAAATTCCGGGGATTTTGGGATTTTTTCCTACCTGACGACGCTGAACTTGAGGTTGTAGTTGCCCCCACTCTTGGGGTATTTTTGTGTAATTTTTTGTGTATTTTTGGGTGGGATTTTGGGGGGTTTTGGTAGGATTTTTGTGAGGATTTTGAGGAGGTTAAATTCCGGGGATTTGGGGTTTTCCGGGTACCTGATGACGCTGAACTTGGGGTTGTAGTTGCCCCCACTCTTGGGGTATTTTTGTGTAATTTTTTGTGTATTTTTGGGTGGGATTTTGTTAGTTTTTGGGGTTTCTTTCGGGGTTTTCTATTTTGGGTTAAATTCCGGGGATTTGGGGTTTTCCGGGTACCTGATGACGCTGAACTTGAGGTTGTAGTTGCCCCCACTCTTGGGGTATTTTTGTGTAATTTTTTGTGTATTTTTGGGTGGGATTTTGTTAGTTTTTGGGGTTTTTTTCGGGGTTTTCTATTTTGGGTTAAATTCCGGCGATTTTGGGTACCTGACGACGCTGAACTTGAGGTTGTAGTTGCCGCCGCTCTGGATGATGGGCGGGTAGCACATCTCCACGGCCGAGGGGTCGGCCCCAGCCAGGTATTTCTTCTCCTCGATGGCTTTCTCCACCGCCTCGGCCAGCTTGCTGTGGCGCACCTTCTGCGGGTGACGTCAGCGTGACGTCAGCGTGACGTCATCATTACATCATCATGAGGTGATAGACCCACCCCCTGGCCATGGCCACCAAGATCCAACCCCAGAATGGGACAAAGTTCTCCTCAAAATGTTGGGGTTTGGAGCAAAAATGTCGGTTTTTAGGTGAGGTGGACCCCAAAAATGTGAAATTTTGGGTCAATTTTACCTCAAAATAACAATTTTTCGAGAAAAATGAGCCCAAAATACCTTTTCTGTACCATGTTAGGTATGGTGACGGAATAGGACCTCAAAATTCCAATTTTTGGTCCATCCTGATCTCAACATTCCAGTTTTTGGGAGTCCAACTTGACCTCAAAATTCCAATTTTTGGTCCCACCAGATCCCAAAACTCCCATTTTTGGTCCAACCTGACCAAAAAATTCCAATTTTTGCTCCATCCAAATCTAAAAATTCCAATTTTTGCTCCATCCTGACCTCAAAATTCCAATTTTTGGGAGTTTAACCTGACCACAAAATTCCAATTTTTGGTCCATCCAGACCTCAAAATTCCAAATTTTGGAAGTCCAACTTGACCTTAAAATTCCCATTTTTGGTCCAATTTCTCCTCACACTTCCCATTTTTGGTCCATCCTGACCTCAAAACTCCAATTTTTGGTCCAACGTTTCCTCAAAATTCCAACTTTTGGTCCAACTTCTCCTCAAAATTCCAATTTTTGCCCCATCCAGATCCCAAAACTCCCATTTTTGGTCCAACTTCTCCTCAAAACTCCAATTTTTGGTCCAACGTTTCCTCAAACGTCCCGTTTTTGCTCCACCCTGACCCCAAACCTCCCATTCCTGCTCCCACCCCAGCCCACCCACCTCGTCGGCGTCGACGATCTCCATGACGCGCTCCTTGAAGAACTTGGTGAAGACCTCGGAGGTGATGGCGGCCGCCTTGCGCATCAGCTGCAGTTCCCCCTCCTCCTTGGCCGCCATGGCCTGCGCCACCGCCGCGCTCACGTCCACCTGAGGGGCGGGGCCACCGTGGGCGCCGTGGGCGGGGCCGCTCGGGTTGGTGCCGAGCCTCCCGAGCCAACCTTGGTTCAGCTGAACCAACTCCAACTCTTCCGACCCAACTTTGGCTCTTCCGACCCAACTTTGACTCATCTAACCCAACTTTGGCTCTTCCAACCCAACTTTGACCCATCGAACCCAACTCCAACTCTTCCAACCCAACTTTGACTCTTCCGACCCAACTTTGACCCATTGAACCCAACTCCAACTCTTCCGACCCAACTTTGGCTCATTCAACCCAACTTCGACTCTTCCGACCCAACTTTGGCTCTTCCGACCCAACTTTGGCTCTTCCGACCCAACTTTGACCCTTCCAACCCAACTCAGACCCTTCCAACCCAACTCGAACCCAACTTTGACCCATCAAACCCAACTTCAACTCTTCCAACCCAACTTTGACTCTTCCGACCCAACCTTGGCTCTTCCGACCCAACTTTGACCTTTCCAACCCAACTCAAACCCAACTTTGACCCTTCCAACCCAACTCAGACCCTTCCAACCCAACTCGAACCCAACTTTGACCCATCAAACCCAACTTCAACTCTTCCAACCCAACTGTGACCCATTGAACCCAACTTTGACTCATCCAACTCAACTTTGGTCCATCCAAACCCAACTTTGACCCTTCCAACCCAACTTTGACCCTTCCAACCCAACTTTGACCCTTCCGACCCAACTATGGCTCTTCTGACCCAACTTTGGCTCATCCAACCCAACTTTGGTCCATCCGAACCAACGCAAACTCTTCCAACCCAACTCTGACTCTTCCAACCCAACTCCAACCCAACTTTGACCCATCAAACCCAACTTCAACTCTTCCAACCCAACCTTGGCTCTTCCAACTCAACTCTGGTCCTTCCAACTCAACTTTGGTTCTTCCGACCTAACTTTGACCCTTCCAACCCAACTTTGGTCCTTCCAACTCAACTCTGGCTCTTCCAACTCAACTTCAACTCTTCCAACTCAACTTTGGTTCTTCCGACCTAACTTTGACCCTTCCAACCCAACCTTGACTCATCCCACCCAACTTTGACTTTCCCAACTCAACTCCAACCCAGCTTTGGCTCTTCCAACCCAACTTTGATTCATCTGAACAAACTCTGACTCTTCCAACCCAACTTTCACTCATTCAATCCAACTTTGGCTCATCTAACCCAACTCAAACTCTTCCAACTCAACTTTGGTTCTTCCAACCCAACTTTGGCCCATTGAACCCAACTTCAACTCTTCCAACCAAAATTTCACTCATCCAACCCAACTCCAAACCAACTCTGACCCTTCCAACCCAACTTTGACTCTTCAAACCCAACTCTGACTCTTCCAACCCAACTTTGACTCATCTGACCCAACTTTGACCCTTCCAACCCAACTCCAACTCATCCAAGCCAACTCTGACTCTTCCAACCCAACTCCAACCCAACTTTGACCCATCAAACCCAACTTTGACTCATCCAACTCAACTCCAACTCTACCAACCCAACTCTGACCATTCCATACCACCTCCAACTCTTCCCACCCTACTCCAACTCTTCCAACCCAACTTTCGCTCATCCAACCCAACTTCAACCCAACTTCAACTCTTCAAACCCAACTTTGACTCTTCCAACCCAACTTTGACTCTTCCAACCCAACTTTGACTCTTCCAACCCAACTTTGACTCATCTGACCCAACTCTGACCCATCCAACCTAACTTTGACCCATCCAACCCAACTCCAACCCAACTTTGACCCATCCAACCCAACTCCAACCCAACTTTGACGCATTGAACCCAACTTTGACTCTTCAAACCCAACTTTGACCCTTCCAACCCAACATTGACCCATCCCACCCAACTCCAACTCTTCCGCCCCACCCCGCCCCTGGCCCCGCCCAGGCCCCGCCCCCGGACCTTCTCGAAGCCCTCCTTGCTGAGGGCGTCGTTCCAGCTCTTCATGAAGTCTCCGGGGAACTTGTCCTTGGCGAAGACGCCGAGGCGCCGCCCGGCCCGGCTGCCGCGCAGCGCCTCCAGCAGCTTCTCAAAGTTCGCCTTGTTGCTCTCGTTCTGCCGGGGGCGGGGACAAGCTGGGGGCGGGGCCAAGGAGGGCGGGGCGGATGGGGGGGCATTTTGAGGGTTTTTTTCAGGAATTTTGGGTTTTTTTAGGGGATTTTCTCCTCACAATTTTTGGGCTTTTTCCCAGGGATTTTGGGATTTTTGGGGGGAATTTAGGGATTTTTTTTTCAGGGATTTTGGCATTTTTTTCAGCATTTCTGGGGATTTTTTGATAGATTTTGGGATTTTCCCTCAGGGATTTTCCTCTCTCAGTTTTTGGGATTTTCCTCAGGGATTTTGGGATTTTTCTCAGGGACTCTGAGGTTTTTATCAGGGAATTTAAGGGTTATTTTGGGGGCAATTTAGGGTATTTTTTTCAGAGATTTTGGGATTTTTTTTTCCAGCATTTTTTGGGATTTTTTTTGGGAATTTTGGGATTTCCCCCTCTCAATTTTTGAGACTTTTCTCAGGGATTCTGGGATTCACCCTCACAAATTTTTGGGATTTTTCCCTCACAATTTCTCGGGATTTTTCCCTCACAAATTTTTGGGATTTTTCCCCGGGATTTTGGGATTTTTCTTGAGGATTTTGGGATTTTTCTCAGGGAGTTTTTGGGGACTTTGAGATTTCCCCTCAGGGATTTTGGGGTTTTTCCCCTGAGGAATTTTTTTTTTTATTATTTTCCATCAGGGATTTTTTGGGGGATTTTGGAATTTCTTGGGGATTTTGGGATTTCCCCTCAGGGATTTTGGATTTTTTTCAGGATTTTGGGATTTCCCCTCATGGATTTTAGGGATTTTTGGGTTTTCCCCTCAGGAATTTTGGGATTTTTTGTGTTTCCCCCACAAGGATTTTAGGGTTTTTTTCAGGATTTTGGGATTTCCCCTCAGGGATTTTGGGTTTTCCTCTCATGGATTTTGGGGTTTTTTTGTGCTTTCCCCTCAGGAATTTTTGAATTTTTTTTTGCTTTCCCCTCATGGATTTAGGGATTTTTGTGTTTTCCCCTCACCTGCAGCGCCGTGGATTTGGCGTAGACGATCTCCTCGTCCACCCCCACGGCCACCACGATGGCGTCGACGCCCCCGAACTCATCCTCCCCTTTCTGAGGGGAAAAAAGGGTTAAAATACCCCAAAATAACCCAAATTCACCCAAAAATCCACCCCCCGAACTCATCCTCCCCTTTCTGAGGGAAAAAAGGGGTTAAAACCCCCAAAATAACCCAAATTTACCCCAAAACCCAAAAATTCACCCGAAATCCACTCTAAAAACTCCCAAATCTCCCCAAATTTACCTAAAACCCCCCAAATTTAGCTCAAATCCCCCAAAACTTACTTCAAATCCCCCAAATTCACCTCAGACCTCAAAAATTCACCTCAGACCCCAGAACTTTACCTCAAATCTCCGAAATTTACCTCAAATCCCCCTAAATTTACCTCAAGTCCCCCTAAATTTACCTCAAAACCCCCTAAATTTTCCTTAAATACCCCAAATTTACTTCAAACCCCCCAAATTTAGCTCAAATCCTCCAAAATTTACCTCAAATCCCCCAAATCCACCTCAGACTCTCCATATTTACCTCAGACACCCCAAATTCACCTCAAACCCCCCCAAATTTACCTCAAACCCCCCAAATCCACCTCAGACTCTCCATATTTACCTCAGACACCCCAAATTCACCTCAAACCCCCCCAAATTTACCTCAAAACCCCCATATTTACCTCAGCATCCCCAAAATCCACCTCAAACCCCTCACAAATCCATCTCAAATTCTCCAGCTTTACTTCAACTGCTCCAAATTTACCTCAAATCCCCCAAATTCACCTCAAACATCCCAAATTCACCTCAAAGACCCAAAACCCACCTGAAACATCCCAAATTTACCTCAAAACATCCCAAATTTCCCTCAACCCCCCCAAATTTACCTCAAAGCCCCCAAATTCACCTCAGACTCCCCCCATTCCTCTAACACCCCCCTGTTGTTTCCCCCACAAGGATTTTAGGGTTTTTTTCAGGATTTTGGGATTTCCCCTCAGGGATTTTGGGTTTTCCTCTCATGGATTTTGGGGTTTTTTTGTGCTTTCCCCTCAGGAATTTTTGAATTTTTTTGTTTTCCCCTCATGGATTTAGGGATTTTTGTGTTTTCCCCTCACCTGAAGCGCCGTGGATTTGGCGTAGACGATCTCCTCGTCCACCCCCACGGCCACCACGATGGCGTCGACGCCCCCGAACTCATCCTCCCCTTTCTGAGGGGAAAAAAGGGTTAAAATACCCCAAAACAACCCAAATTCTCCCCAAAATCCCACCTCTGAACTCATCCTCCCCTTTCTGAGGAGAAAAGAGGGGTTAAAAACCACAAAACAACCCAAATTCACCCCAAAATCCCCCCCCGAACTCATCCTCCCCTTTCTGAGGGGAAAAAAGGGTTAAAATACCCCAAAATAACCCAAATTCACCCAAAAATCCACCCCCCGAACTCATCCTCCCCTTTCTGAGGGAAAAAAGGGGTTAAAACCCCCAAAATAACCCAAATTTACCCCAAAGCCCAAAAATTCACCCGAAATCCACTCTAAAAACTCCCAAATCTCCCCAAATTTAACTAAAACCCCCAAATTTAGCTCAAATCCCCCAAAACTTACTTCAAATCCCCCAAATTCACCTCAGACCTCAAAAATTCACCTCAGACCCCAGAACTTTACCTCAAATCTCCCAAATTTACCTCAAATCCCCCTAAATTTACCTTAAGTCCCCCTAAATTTACCTCAAAACCCCCTAAATTTTCCTTAAATACCCCAAATTTACTTCAAACCCCCCAAATTTAGCTCAAATCCTCCAAAATTTACCTCAAACCCCCCAAATCCACCTCAGACTCTCCATATTTACCTCAGACACCCCAAATTCACCTCAAACCCCCCCAAATTTACCTCAAACCCCCCAAAATTACCTCAAACCCCCCAAATTTACCTCACAACCCCCATATTTACCTCAGCATCCCCAAAATCCACCTCAAACCCCCCCAAATCCATCTCAAATTCTCCAGCTTTACTTCAACTGCTCCAAATTTACCTCAAATCCCCCAAATTCACCCCAAAGACCCAAAACCCACCTGAAACATCCCAAATTTACCTCAAAACATCCCAAATTTCCCTCAACCCCCCCAAATTTACCTCAAAGCCCCCAAATTCACCTCAGACTCCCCCCATTCCTCTAACACCCCCCCCAAATTTACGTCAAACCCCCCAAATTTAAGTAAAACCCCCCAAATTTACCTCACAACCCCCATATTTACCTCAACATCCCCAAAATTCATCTCAAAACACCCAAATTAACCTCAAATCCCCCAAATTCACCTGAAAACATCCCGAATTTGCCTCAAACCCCCCAAATTTACCTCAAAACCCCCATATTTACCTCAGCATCCCCAAAATCCACCTCAAACCCCCCCAAATCCATCTCAAATTCTCCAGCTTTACTTCAACTGCTCCAAATTTACCTCAAATCCCCCAAATTCACCTCAAAGACCCAAAACCCACCTGAAACATCCCAAATTTACCTCAAAACATCCCAAATCTCCCTCAACCCCCCCAAATTTACCTCAAAACCCCCAAA